CCCCCCCAGTTCATGTTTTTTGGTCTTGAAGCGTCTTTTAAAATTCTTATATAAAACATGCTCGAAAAGGTGAAGAAGGTATTCTTTATCTCAAAATGCAGTAGCAATTTATGGACTAATACAGCATTTTATAGTGGTCTTCATTTTCAGAAACATGAATATGTATGTCTTTTGTACACACATTTGAAAAACAGCAGTGCATAATTCATGAGTACATGGGCTACTAACAGTTTAGACTAGACCACAGCAATCACCTTACTATTTTGCATCTCTTAGATTCCCCTGTCACCTGCCACCTTTCCATTCTTCATGCCTTTCTCCAGCAGTCCCTGAAACACTCTGTCATTTCCTGCATTTGTTCCTCTCCATTCTGGGTGTCTGTGTTACATTCTCTTCAGAATTCAGTGCCCCGTTTCTTTGGTCTTCAGACAGTAGCACATCCCGTTCAGCAGGCAAGCACAGTGAGTCATCCTTTGGAGTATGGACCTGCTGACCACCTTCCTCTTGGCCGGGCTGCCTTCAGATGCTCTCATTCTCAGTAGCCGGTGATCACTTCCTGGGAAGGGCCCTGTACCAAAGCCAGATAGACTCTTATCTCTAAATCAAAACCAAGTAGTTTCTGGAGCTTTGAGTTAAGAAGATCTGGTTCAGAATATAGTCTTTGAATAAACAGCATGTCTAGTATTGTATGAAAGACATCAGTGATTCAGCTGCTGTATATTTGGTCTAAACTGGAGCAGGTTTAGTAGGTTGTGGTATGAATGACTTTTTATGTGGTGACAGTATTATGTTAGATAGCTCTTTAAAAAGTGTTTCAGCTTTCAAGTAGACTGTCTTTCCAGCTCAAAAATCTATGATTATTCTGTGTTGCAGTGTTTCAATAAAATCATCTCAGGGTTAACTTGAGTTATGTTATTTATTTGTTTGAGAGGCATATAGGAATTAATTTTGATTTTATTTTTAGGAAGTATGATTGGGGATGATGAAGCTCTTAGGAAGATTAGGGCTGACTTTGATGAAACTATCCAGTCTGAGAAGTTATGTCTTGATCAGAAATATTTTCCTGGGAAAGCAGTTCAACAGGATTACCACATGCCTGATGTCATAACTGTCAGAGTACAAAGAGGTAAGTGCTGGTTTTATATGAGTATCATGTATAATCATACTCTACTCTCAATCTGTTACTAAAAGGAACAATATCCTGGAATTTCCATTTTAACAGATTCTGATTCATTCCAAGATGTGGTTGTTAAAATTGAAAGACCTACCTATTGTAAACCATTTCTGGGTGGATTTAAGAACAGGATAACAGGAGTTGAATTTCATAATGCAGGATCACAAACGATACGCAAAAAGCAACCTGACAAAGGAATTCAGCTATTCTGTAGGGAAACACAGGTAATGGCTTTGTAGTATGTTTTTAGAATGCTGTTTTTGCCAAACAAAATAGAATGTTGACACAGTTATTTCCCATAGGAATGAGGAAGTAGATCAGTGATAAGTGTGCAACTGAAAGTATTTAGTGGATGAATATCATTAATCTTGTGATTTTTGTTATAAATAGCCAATTTTGCCACTTACTGTAATGAAGAAAAAAAATCATCTCATTATATGTTGTTATAATCTGACATGCATTTTTTCCTCAGACGGCTTTTGAAATAAATAAGACACAACAAACAAAAAATACAACATCAACACAGATGGCTAAAGTTGGCCTGTATGTGTCAAACATGACTGACAAGCTAATAAATCCTGGGAAGTATCTTACAGCCAAAGAATACCATGAACGTAGACTTGAAGCAGTAAGTTCTCATCTAAATTAAGTATTACAAAGGTTATCTAAATATTTAATAAGTGTTCAGAGTGTTCAAAGAGTGAATTTAACAGTGCGCTGCAAAATGTCTGCTTAACCTTCACCTTTTGTAATCTTTCAGATATGGGGGAAACGTGTGTCTGCTCACTTACAATATTAGTGTTTTTAATGACTTTTGAGACCTTGTGGTTTTTTAAACGCTAATAATTGTGATTTTACTTATTTCTGACTTACAGTGACAGTTAAGATTCCATATAGAGCATTAGGGATTAAAATAGGCTTGTCCCTATGGCATTCTCAAGACCTCTTTAGAAAGACCTAAGGTACAGAGTATATATAAGGAAGAAACTTTTAATGATGATGGTGTGTGATGGTTTTAAGCCCTGCGGACACCGGAGACCATGTTGCCGTTGTCCTTCCTCCACCCTCAGCCAGTCAGGATGGAAGTGAGGCACAAACCCCGGGTTAAAATAAGAAGAAATTTAATACAACAGTGTAATAAGAAATCTGAACAACAACAGTAGCAATGATAACAACAATAAACAGCAATAACAGTGAACAAGACAAAAGATATACAGAGAAATACTGCAATGGTTACAGACAGCTCGCTCACAATGCTCCTCACAACCAGAGCCACAAAGGAAAAAGTTCCCGCCTGCCACGATGGACCTGACAGCATGGTATGAATAACCCAGCTGGAGATCCCTTCCTCCTGCTGGGAAAACTGAACCCTATCCTAGCTGAACTAGGACATGGTGGTAAAACACTGTAACAGGTTGCCCAGAGACATGGTAGATGCCCCATCCCTGGAAACATTCAAGGTCAGGTTGGACAGGGCTCAGCAACCCACTCTAGTTGTCCCAGCTCATTGCAGAGGGGTTGGACTAGATCATCTTTAAAGGTCCCTTCCAACCCAAACTATTCTGATTCTGTGATTCTACATGCTTAATATATGGCCTCAAATGGGTAAGATTTAGGAGACATGAATTCAGCTTATGGGTTTTGTGGGTTTTGGCTTTGTTTGGTTTTTTAACAGGCCTGATAGGTTACCTTTGGCATACTGCTCTGTTCTGGATTGTGTTCAAGCTCCTCCTTTGCCATTAAGGTAGAACGTGACTGTTCAAACACATACAACAGGCCTGTGGAGTTCTTTGGTGCACTGAGTCGTCTCATGCAGGCGATTCTGATGACAGATTCTGTATAGTCATTGTACAGAAGACGCCATTTAGATGTTCCAAATTGCTTTTTGAAAACCATGTATTCAGTGACTGCACACCTAAGTACACCCAGCATCATTTACTGCTTTGTAAATGGTCTAGTTATTAATTTGATTACTTAAAGTAGTTTGAATGTAATTAAATGGAGAGACAGTTGTTCCCCAAGTGTCCGAGGATAATTGTATTGACATGGTTGATATTATTCTGGGTAGAAGTCTTCTGTAAGAACTTACTTGGTCAGCATGAGCTGATGGCAATAAGGGTCTTGTAGAAGTGAAACCCAAATAGGTAGCCATTTCCTCAGGCCTGCCAATATGTTTTACTCTGATCATTACTGCCACTTACTGAAATCCGTAATGTATCTGCAGGTAATCTATAATGCACAGTAGAGAGACATCAGCTTGGTGTTGGTTCAAGTGAATGGATTTGCACAATGCAGTGTAGCTGAAGACGTATTCAAGAGAAATGTTAGGTTAAGATATCTCTCGAGACAGTATAACTGTATTAGTGTGGGTTTGTATTTGATAGCCTTCGATGCTGAACAATGCTTATTAGCTCATGGTATCGACCTGGCTAAACTGCTTGTGGTGCAAGTGCTAACTCAGCTGGCAGAAGCTCAGGCTTGTGCATTGTGCACCCGTAGCTTAGTATAGACATTTCCCTAGTCTTTAATGGCCACGGCTTTGGAAGGTGGATTTTTAAATTTGTTTTTTTAAGTTTAGTCATAACAGCATTGGTAATTTCACTTTCATTATTTGTTTACAAATAAAATGCAGTTGATTTTGTGTGGATGTGTGTTGATTTTTGTACTGAGAAATTTAAAAGAAATTTTGCAAATGGGATTGGGAACCTAGACACTATATAAATGGATAGTAAAATGAGAACCTCTTCCCACAAGGCTGAAAACAATAAAAACAATACATGACAAAAGGTGTTTTTTAAGGAGAGATTTGAAAAAGGAAAAAAAAAAAAAGTAATTGCAAATTGCAGTTTATACGTTATCTTTATTACTTGAACCTACTTTCTCCACTGTACTCACTGATTAACTCCTGCAGTTACCTGAATAAGTAAGCATACTATTGTTTAGACTAACAGTACAGTACTGAATGTACAGTACTAACAGTACTGACTGGTTTTGTGACATTTAAATTAGTTTGAGTACCAGATAAGTCTTAAAAAATGTGCTAGAAAAGATAACTGTTAAGAAAAAAACCCTATTCTGTATTGTTATGAATTCATGATTCTTTGGTATTATATCACATATAGGTAATAGTATTACAGACGTATTTCCGTCGTTGGCATGCTATAAATGTAGTACAAAATCTGAGGGAAGAAAAAAGGTTAAGGCTGGTATGGGAAGCACAAGAAGAGGTACGGAGAAAAAAAGAGAAAGATGAAAAACTGAGAAAGGAACAGGAACGAAGACTGAACCCTAAAACAAGAGAAGACTTTGAGCTACTGTACCATGCTTTAGAATGTAAGTTTTTTCTTAAAGGGATACTCTTAAATCAGCAGTACAGTTTGTTTAAAACAAACTCTTCTGGTTTTGACATGTTTTTATAGCTACTTCCTTGATTTTTTTTGACTTACATGGAATTTCTTTCATTTTTAAAGAATTATTTGTCTTTCATATATTTCTGGAAGCAGAAAAGGCCTTGACACTGTGTAAGCACTGTTTAGCAATAACTAAAACATCCCTATGTTATCAACACTGTTTTCATCACAAATCCAGAACACAGCACTACAGAAGCTACTGTGAAGAAAATTAACTCCATCCCAGCCAAAACTGTCACACCTTTTTAGGAAATAATCTGCTTGTAGAATAGTGCTGTTTGGCAGGGGGTTTTGTGAGGGATTTTTTTTTCCATTCGTCTCTAGTGTTCAGGCAGGCTAGAGGAATAGGAACTGGTTTTTTTGATCAGACTTCCTTTTATCTTTTACTCTACATTTAGGATGCTGAAAATAATACCATGAAGAAATTACTACTAAGATCCATCTTTCGTCATTTAAGATAGACATTTCTTTATAACGGATTAAATTTTTGGCCAGAATTTTACAGTACATGAGTAAGATTATTCCTTTTGTCCTAGTCTTCTTCTCCTTCTGATTTTTCTTTGCTCTAATTTATTCCATGTTTCACAAAACACTGTGGTCGAAATTTTAAAATCTGTTAGGTATCCTACAAGGTGTCTTGAAAGACTTACTTTTCCTGTTGGAGTGGATGTTGTCTAATATAGGCAAGTATCTCTAAACTTCCCTGGAAAAATAAGGTGAATAGTACAGATATTTGACATAACTTAAAGGAGAATAATGTTGCAAATGTAACAAAAACCTAGAAAATGTCCTTTTGGAAAAACAAAGTAATAGAAAGCAGTGGACTTGTACCAGCATATAATGTCATTGCAAGAGTTCTTTTTTAAATGTCTCCTTTCAAACAAGATGCTTGCATTGTAGCTCGTAGCAACTCATATGTTATCCAAGGCTACAGTGCTTGCTTATGGTATAACTTTTTGTCAGTTTGGACATTACTGTCCCTATAGCAGAACTGGCCTAATGGATTACCTGCTTTATTACAAAGCCACATGACCTACCTTAAACTATTCCAGCTATTTCTTCCATGATAAACTGAGCATAAATTTGGTAGTGTGTGTTATTAATAGATCTTAGGATCATGATTCAAGAATTCCCAAGTTATACCCTAATCTTTTAATGCTCTCATACTTTGTGTGACATAGTTTGTCTGAATGTATAAATGACTTACAAATATTACTGTTTGTGGCAAATGTAAAAAATATTACTGCTCTTAAACTTTAGAATTCTGTAAATGGTATCTTCATGACGTTTGTGGTTTGTTAGGGGTTGTTTTTCCTACCCCATTTTTATTCATAGGTGGTTAGCTTTTCACTCCACAAGAGTCAAGCCCTGTTGAAGTTGTCTTACTAGGTAATCAAAAGCCAAGGTACTCAAGTAACAGTTTTTTCTTCCCTACTTATGGCAAGTGCTATTATTTGGTATCTGATTTCCTGCAGTATTTTCTTTAAAAAACTGCTTCCTAGCTAATGTGCTATCAAATGTATGATCCACTTATTTTTTCTTTTTTTATTAAGTGTAATGACTCTTATTTGCAATAGAAATAACAAAGCAGACAAAGCTGTGAATGAGTGCTGATATTCCCAATATTTTCAGATTTAAAATTTGTGGTTATTTACATGTCTTTTTTGCTTAATTTAATGTCATCGGATTCACGAAACTTTCAGCTTTGCATGTTCAGGAATTTAACATCTAGGCAACCTGAAAAAGCATGTGCCACTTCAAAACTGTAACAGAACAAACCCCAGTATGTGAAAGTTGTTCTTAACATTTTGTTAAAATTAATGGTCTGCTATCAGTCTTTTTGGTTTGTGTTTTGTTTACTGGTGTTGAGTTGCTTCTCTACATGGAGACTTGTAGTCATGCTGTTTATTTTAATAGAGCTTAGTGGTTCTAGGAAGTTGTGGTTTTTTCTACCTGCATCTGAAACTACTTTTACATTCTTGTAGTGTCAACAGTCTATACAAGCTAAATCATTGTGACAGTAATAGAATGAGACTTGTCCTCTAGAGATATGTGAAGGTTATTGCTCCTGATCACAACAGGGGGATACTATTACAGGGTCAACCAGTACATGTAATTCCTGTTGGTACAAAAACTTGCCTGTTGACTGTATGGTGTAAAAGAGATCTATCTATATATTCAGTGTGTCTGCATATAGAGACCTTCATTATTTATTTAAAAAGCATGAACTTCTTTGTTTTATAAAAAAGGAAATAAAAATAATGAGTAAAATATCTGTAAAACATGATCTAAGAGAAATGTTTTTAACTTGATTGCATGTACATGGTGAATCAGGAGGTGAGTATTGATGATAACTGACAGCATCTTCATTTCTGTAAGTACAAAATTGCCTACTGTATTTATTAGCTCTACCTTTGAAATTGCTGCCCCCTTCAGGCATATAAAGCTTCATGAAAATTAATTCTATACAGTGCTTTTGTTTGCTGAAATGGCTTTATTTAAAAATATATCTCTGGGTACTAAGAACTTGTCAAACAGCTGTCATATTAATACCAAATCTTGGAGAGCCTTAAGGAAATGACTTTAAATGTTTTTAAATGGAAAACATGCAGAAAATAAACCTTCCTCCTTTCTCTCCTCCTGCCTCTAATCTTACCTGATACAGGATGTTACAGACTTTTTCAGTAGGTGTACATCACTTACTGGATTGTTTTTTACATTGGATTTTCCTTTTGCATAACTGTTCTGGAGCAATAACAACACTTTGGGAGATTATTCAGGAATGTTGAAGTGTTGTATTTTATAAAATTCCCTGCAAAACTCCAGATATATTTGAAATGGAACAGACTCTTCAGAAAAGCCAAGAATTGTTACAGTGTATGCAAAGGATTCGGTAACACAGTTTGATTTTGCTAACAGATTTCTGTAAGGGCATATAGTATGTGTACTAGTACTTACAGTAAAAATATGAAGACTACAAAATAAACCCTGATAGAAACACATCTGTATGTTTCTGTCATTAAGTAGTCTAACTTGTAAGGGCGGCATGTACCTGTGTTTTTGTGATTTGACCCTAAGAGTCAGAAGGCCAGATTCTTAGACGGTGTATACTGATTCACCTGTTGCTGTTATTATTATCTTGTGGTTTGCATGCCACTTCCATTTGAAGGGTTCTGCTGCAGAAGAGGAAAGGGAGAGTAAAGCAACATCTGTCTAATTATTAATGTGCATCCTTCTGCCTTAGATGGCAAAAGATACCACCCAAATATTTAGTAAGACCTGGAGTGCTAAACGTGACTGTCAGTCAAGTTTTATCTCAGTTTTGGAGGACTTCAAACTTCTTTAGGTTTTACTGATTTACGCAGGGAGAAGCAGTAATATTGTCAGCACTAAATAGTAGTGGTACTATAGTAAGATGCTGTCCTTAATCTGTTGAGAAGATCTCCATGGTATCTCTTGTGACTATGATGAGCAATTGTTTGAAAAGTTCCTATTGCTCATACCTTTTGGAGCTGTTTGAGTCTGAAACCGTTATTTTAGATGCAAAATCGTGAAGAAATCCATTTCATCGCATGTTTCCACAGGAGCTAAACGCTTTTTTTTCACATAGAGCTCCTTTTTATCCTAACCCATCTTTGAGTTTGTAGTATGAATTGGCAGTTTGAAATGGTGGTACACACACATGCTCTCACTGAACATCTGTATAATTTGCATTCATTTCTGGGCCATTTTGCATGTATTAAAACTATGATTTTAATCCTAATGATCAGTTCCCTAACACAGAAACTGGCTTTTAACGAATATTGAAAATTAGTTATTTCTTAAATATGAAAGCAGAAGTTTCACTGGAAAACATCTTGTAAAAATACCCAAAATGTTTGTATCTGTAGTATGGAGGCGGGAGGAGACCGAATGGATTAATACAACTCTTACTGGAGCTGAAAGAAAGGCAGCATTTTGTGGACTTCTGGAAAAAGAGGCACAGCTGATTGCTGCCATTGGGAGACACAAACTAAATGCAGATGAGGAGAATCAACAAAGAGCAATACTGCACTTTCTGAATAAGGTCAGTGATGTAATTTAAGCTGAACATAAAGAATATCAGAGTAACTTTTGTAACTTTGTTAATCCTGTGAATGCTAATGTTATAAATATCCAGATTATCTCGTTGTTCATGTCAGTACAGTTCAGTACATTTACTTTTCCAAGCTGAGAATTTCTTAGCCCTGTGATTGAAGGACTAACCTTGCATCACTAAGACTGTTAACTACCTATGTCTATGGTAAATCTCAGGTGTGTATATATAATATAAAACAATAGAACTGAGTAGATGAATTTTGTATTATTTAACAATTCTGCATAAAGAATGTGATTCTGATGGCACTCAACAACGTTAAAGGCTCAAATTCTCACAATTCAGAATGGTTATCTGAGGTTATAAAGCATTAGGATATTGCATACCATTCTATATTTTGTATTGTGTTCATTGCAATGATGTAGGAATTCATGCATGAAACTATGCTCTTTCCTAATCTGGTTTTGAAACTTTAAAAATCTGCTTATTAGCTTCTCTTTCAAAAACACTCAGTTTCACTAATCAAAACTAATGACTAAGTGATTTTCCCTCTGGTATGTTCTGTTCATTGTTCTCTATAGTGAAAAGTTTGCTATTTCATTTAAAGGTAAATGCAAGTGTTTAAGCAAGTATTTGCAAAGTTAAACTTTAACCCTCCAGAATAGATCAATTGATTCTTTCTTCTTCCCTGAGAAATATTATCCTTCAGAAACTAGATTTGTTATTTGTTTCCCCATTGAGCACAGGCCTGGTCATCATATGTCTGTCTTTAAAGAAAGCATTTACTCTGCTTTCATGTACAAGATAGAAACCCAGAAGAGCTCTGACTGAATCTTACATCATATTGAACTCAGTTATTAATTCACTAGTTTCAGTTGCATTAGAACTTGAGATTTTATTCTTGAATAATTTTGAGGATGAAATTTAACACAAGTGTTCTTCAGGCTTTCATCTATAAAACAAAGATGAGCATTCATACACAAAGATGATTTAGGATGGCGTTAGATACAATGGCACCTTGATGTAAAATACAAAAAAGACCTTTTTAGGTAGGTGTCCCAGCAGTCCACCCCCTCAGAAAAAAGAAACAGTTCATTTTCTGGCTGTTTTCATAGTATGTGACATAACTATGAAACATTTTTTTTTTTTTTTTTTTTTTTTTTTTTTTTTTTTTTTTAAATTTTGACTATTTAGTGCTCAAAAAGTAAAAATGTCTGTTTCGGCCAAAAGAGACTTTTTTTCATTCTTTTTGTTACTGATGTTTGGGAACTGGGCTGTAAAAAGTGATTTGATAAAATCTACTACCTTTCTTCATTACGAACAAATTACTTATCTGAAATGTTGGTGGCAGTATTACCAGGTTTATTGCTGTGATGTTACTGCTTTCAAGAGTGAAAAAAACCCATAAAACTACATATTTTGGAATGATATCAAAACCTCGAATCATGTTAAATGTTTGCTTTTGCTATTTACAGTCTGTTCTGTTATCTTCTTAGAAAAAGAATCCTGGAACAGTGAAAGTAAATATATTTATCTCTTAACTGAGTCTCTATCTTTATTTTTCCTTTAAGGACTGCTTTTCACTGTCCTAACCTATATAGATTACTTCCAGTATATATTATCACAAGTTATACAGTTTTCTTACCTTTAGGAATCAGAGGCAAAATATTCTTCACTACCAGAATTCTTAGAGACAATTGATGTTTGGAGATTCAGGAGACACAGGAGAGACAAGAGATGCTCTCTTTTTCCAAATAGTAGACATTTTTCTGCAGCACCTTACTACTAATTTATTTATACATATTTTAAATGTTTGAATTATGTTTTTCATTAAAGAGACTAGTTTCTTTTTAATTTGAAAATCTAGTGAGCTTCTGAACTAGTGCAACTTTTTCTTTTCATGTTTTTTTATCATGTCCACTATAGGATTTTGAGCGTTGTACTAAATTGTTCACATAGATAGCAGCCTAACTTAGAGGTAAAGAAAATAACCATTTCTGCATTTCTTAAAAAATAAATGTATTTTTGGAAATCTCAAATGGTTTGTTATGACTATAACAATGCAATACTTTAAACTGTAGTATGAAATTTATTGTTGGAGTGCTAGATTATAGCTTATTCAAGTATTTCTTGAACTTTTAGCTGATAATGTTAATCTGGACACTTGCCAGTTAAAGTTGGAATAACACCTTTCACATCTGAATACTGCAAGCATTTCACTTTGCTTCAATAGCCAATGTGATATGAAACTTGCTTCTCCATGGAAACCTTCGTTCCCTTCTTTGCTACTTAAAGCATATTCCTCCTCATGCATGTGTGCTTTTACAGTGATTGCTACTGGTTGTATGTATGCTACATTCTGGGGGGTACTTTTTTTATGCTGAACTCATTCTTCTTCAGCATTTGTATTTTGAAGAGGAACTACTTGATTAAGCTTTTATACAGCAATAATATTTTTTTAAAGGATTTTGTGTAGTTATTAACTATCACTCAGTTCATACCTTTCATACTTTGTGCTATTTCTGCCCCTATCCTATGGATTTTTTTAACTTTTCTTACCTTTTTCTCTCTATGTCTGTGGTGGTGTGTTTCTCTCCTCAGGTGCTTTTCTTTGCTTTCATGCATTGGCAGCAGAGTGCAGTTGTAGTAGTTGCTCTCTGAAGTAATACAGATAACAGGATTATTGTAAATTCCACAGCACTGCCAGCAGACTAAAACGCAGGAAAAAGCTGGCAAAAACCCTTGAAGTTTTAGTTTTCTTGCATTAATCCTGAATATATGAAACTAGTCCTGAAATCAGAAAGCTTGTGATTCTTTCTGAAATACTGGAAATCTTTATATTGTTTTTTTTTTTTTTTTTTTTTTTCTTCACTAAAAAGCTGCTTAATTTCTAATTTATTTTATTTTATATAATACCCAGTTATGATAAGGTTGTAATATAAAATACAGAAGTTACAGATACGATGTCTTGCTTTGAATAATTTAGACGTTATCATAATATAGTTTGACTGTATTAACGGTCATTTGCAGAGTGGAATACCAAGACTGCTAGGTCATATATGGTTTGTTGCAAATTTATCAGAAGAACCTAGTTTTAATAACCATTTCCTAGGGTAAACTCTGTCCATTGATTCTCCCTCACATAAGCAAATGACCTTTCTGTCTTATCATAAAAGTGATTTCACTGAAGAGAATCAAATGTAGGTACAGTCTACCATACAAAGGAGGGTGTCACACTTTCTAAATTGGTGGGTTTTTTTTTTTTTTTTTTTTTTGTTCTGTTTTTTTAGAATTTCTAGTGCCATACAAAGACAGTGAAACAAAGTCATGAAGTTATAGCAGAATGCTCCATTTTCATGACAGAGAGAGAAAATCACCTCTCTAATTTTGCAGAAGTTCAAAGATTTCACTGAGGAATTAAGAGTTTTATTTTTTCTAATGTCTTGTTTTGATATTGCATTTCTTAATCAGTTTTGGCTCTCAACTGTGACCTCTGATTAGTAATTCCTCCTTTAATTAGAGTTCCACCCCCACTGATAATATAATTAAATGTCAGTTATTCAGTGTTAAATCCTTTTTTTCAATTATTTTGTCCTTCTTTTGCTTGCTTAACTTTGCAATTTATTTATTTAAAAGTGAGGAGTGCTCTATTTTGATTGTGGTAGTGACTAATCATATCTGTTCTAACTATCTAATATTCTTGGTATTTTTATGACTTATCACCATAGCAAGTCTGTATATTCGGTCAAAATAATGATTACGTCAATGCTGGAGTCATATCCAGAAAAATACTAGGCATGTGAATGCTGCATGAAGTGTTGCTGTAGTTAACTCACACTGAGACTGCAAAGTTCACAAGTGCTTGTGAACACTCAAGATGCAAATACAGTGAAAGAGAACAATTAATACACAGAATGAGTATCTTTCTATTTGGATACCTGCCTCCCTATGTAACAGTGTGATTGGCAGCCAAACCCAGCCCTCTTGAAGGAGAAGAATGGTTGGACTTTTTGAACCGAGTGGGGCAGCTGACACCATGTACTTTCTCAGTGTGTATAAAAGTTAAAGATGTGCAGAGAGACAGTTGAAGTAGTAGGCATATGGTATGTGGCTAAGTTAGCAAACAAGAAGCTAGGTGAATTATCCAATAAGCTGTAAATTCATACTTTGCCTTAGTCAGCTTTAACAAAGTCTATGCCTTCTATCCATCTGTATAACTAGCACAAATAGAACAGTTCCCTGGAGATATTTTGTACTGCAGTAGACTCTGAGGCCTTAAATTTGCAGTCTTTACACAGTCAACAGTCCCATTGATTTTTACTGATAGTTTAGAGGGATTTATTACTACAAGATTAAATACAGAGCAAATGTATTCTAACACTACTGTCAGTAAATTCACTTTAAAGAAGTAGAGCATATCCCTGTAGGAGAATATTATTTACTTTTAATATACCATAAGTCAAAATTTTCATGTCCTGCAACTTTAAACAAAGTGTGCAATTGAATACTTGCTCTGGTGGAAAAGGTACTGTATAAATATTGACAATAGAATTAGCCTTTTGTATTAGTCAAGCATTAATGTTAAGTCCCTATTTGCTCTGATGAAACTTGATGTAATATAATGCACTTGTTCAGCTGGTGATCAGATTATAATAGCTCAGAGTTATACAAATTGTTTCTGAAGTGTGCACAACCTAAGAGATGGAAAGCATATGATGGAAAAATCACTGAAATGGATACACAGTACACACTCCATGCCAGAGAACTATTTGAAATCTGCCGCAGCATTAGCATGAACGACATCCCAAAAGATGAGAGAATAGATGTGCTGTTAACACTCAGACGTACAGTGAAGGTATGTTTTATTTTTCTATTTATGTTTAGTTCGAAGCTGTACTTCCTAAAGATACAGTCACTTAATTATGTTGACACATAAGCAGTCCTGGCAGACGGGTGCCAGGATGATCAGCTGGCAGCAAGAGAAAGCCTAATATACCACCTGGCACAAGAGTGTAATTTACATTCTAGTTAGATATACTCTGAATTCATATTTCACTTTGTGATGGGCACATTTTTCTTCAAGTTGTGTTAGAATTTTAACTCCATGGATTTAGACTTTTTTTGTATACTAATAAAGAATACATAACATCTTGATGAAAACCTTGGCAGAGATTTAAGTGGCTATTACTATTTCTCCTTCTCAGTTCTTTGAAATGTCTGTTTAGAACCTTATCTCTCTGTTGGTTTGAGTTACCAGTTTTATGGGTAGCAAATACTCACTTTTAATAATTTTTTACTTTGCTTCTCAGTCCCTACTCTCATTGCTGCTGCCAGTGTTCCTAGTAAATTAGAAGTTGCATTTCTTGTAGTATTTCATATTTGTTTTATTTATTTATTTATGCATGTACAAAATAATAATATGAGTTTCATGGTGCTTTCAGGATGATACTGTTGATGCCAAACTATAGAATGCTGCTTCCTGGTCTTATTAAATAAACATCTTGCTGTTTACTTTGGTAGTACCAGAATTTGATCTAAAGCCAATATAGCATTGGGAGCACTGCTGGTTTATGAACTCCTACCTGTCTTGATACAAGTTGATATTACTGTAGCGAACAAATTTGAGAATTCCTGTAATATAGTGCATTATTTTAGGTGAGAAAACATTGAACTCATTTACCTTTTATCTGACTCTGAAAAATCTCCTCCTAAACATTTGAACTATTGATTGATTTCCAAGCATACTCATAAAGCCCCTTCTGCCTTTCATGTGGTGGGTTTTTTTTATATGTTTGGGTTTTTTTTTAACCATCTACTTTGTATAGACATTACAGCTCCCATTGCATAGCCAAAGGACGCTTCTTACAGAGGTAGTTCTTGGGGCTTTTGGAGACTGCAAATTTTGCATACATTTTGTGCCTCTGTTTAGCATTTTTTAATGCCTCTAGGTTTACAGTGCCTCACAGATTTTTTATATAATCAGGTCCCTTAAAGTAGAATCTGTTAGTGTTCTCAGCTTTGTAGTTTACGTTGATTTTCTTGAAGATTGTTTTCCTAAGATGCTACAGGGTTCTTCTATGAACATACTGTTACATGAACATACAGAGGTATGAATGATGATTGGTATTGAATCCATAGTTTGCTTTCATATCTGCATTAGAATTATTTTGTTTGTTTGCTTCCTTGTTGTGGAGTTTGTTTTCCTTTTACTTTGTGTTTTCTTTCAGGAACATGAATGTAAATTAACACAGGAAATAGTGGAATTAATTGACAGGGAAGTTGATCTTATGTCGAGAGAGGTGAAAGAATGCAACTTAGAAGGACTGAGGAAAAGAATCTGTACATTATTTCTTCAGTACATTAAAACTCCAAAGTTCAACCCTGGAGTTGCTAGGATACTTAAGGTATTATTCTTATTTTGCAGTCTGACATAGTGGACATTGAACTAAGGTTGATGTAGAAGGGGAATGCAAAACAATGAAAGGTTTTTATTTTACATTTTGTTTTATAATTGCTGGAGTTGTTCCTCGAGAAGTAGAATGTAGCAAGTACACAGGCTTCACACAGATAAGCTTATATAGTCATATAGGAAGCATGGGACATAGACGTGGGTATAAGAATCTGACAAGTGGCTGATAGCACTGAGAGATCCCAGGAACTCTATGTATGAAATAAAAGATCTGAGAATTATAAATGGTAGATTTTATGGGATGGTAACAGTAAAATGTGATAGCAAATGGGGAACCAACAGAGATGACAATTATCTTTTTACCACCAGAGAAGGGGCAGCATACCATACATCCAGAAAGGAACAACATTGCCATTGTCAAAGCGATGTCTAATGAGTTTGCACCTAAGCAAGAACTGTTACGAGCTTCTGTTGTACAACCAGTTGCTACTTTGTGAGGAAGTTTAGCAAGGAAGTGGAGTGATAGACACCTCTCAAGTCGTGTGATTGTTTTCCTTTTCCAACTACATACTACAATTAAAAATATAATTCACTATTGTATGTTGCAGCTTTAGGCAGCAACATGTATTCTGCATCTGTCAGAAGAGGATTCCTCTTACAGTGGTTGGTGGTATCTCAGGAGTAGAGAATCTGTCAGTAACTGTTAGTCAGATTTAGAACCAACTAACAGTTATTTTACACTACGTTTATGAACAGGGTTACCTAGATGTGCCATAGCAGAAACTGGAGATGGGAGATCTTTGTCTTCTGTACCTTTTGGTTAACTGTATGTTGAGTTAAAGGCTGAACTGCACCTATATTTGAATCTTGTAGCCTTCTGTAGACCACAAAAAAAATGGCTGTTCATCAAGAGACAGTCAAAGTGACCAAATCCTCAGGCTACTTTCAAAAAAAGGCAGATGACCACAATAGGTAGCTGGATTATCAGACTACTCAGACTACCCAATTACAGATTTGGGCCCTCTGCACAGACTACATTATATTCTTTTGAGAACCCATGAAGCAATGAGGAAGTCATTAGCAAGTTTAGTTTATTGTCTTCCCCTATATTGTTTTTGGACATGTGGCTCTGTTGATTTTATGTTCTTATGCCAAAATATTCATATGCCTATAATCTCAGAGTTTTATCTTTGACATAAAGGACAGATTCTATATGAAAAATTAAATGCAAAATAGTTAGTTTCGTTTCCTCTGTGTTACCATCTTTCCAGAATGGCTGACAATCTGCATAAATAAAAGCTTTTACATATTAGAATATTTGCAGGAATATATGTAAAATATATTCCTGCAAATATTACTTGTATTCCAACTCTAGCTCTGTTGGAATACAAGTAATACAAAGATACTTGTGGTAAATTAACTTTTTTTTTTTTTTTTTTTTAAATCTTTTAGGTTCCACCAGATCCCTTAAAGCTTTATAAAAATGTTAATTTCTGTCATAGTTGTGAAAATTACTTACCAGCTACTGAATTTCCCGTTCCTGCTAATTGCCGCACCATTGGCAGATGTCGCTTGTGTTGCAAACTTGATAATGAGGCTCGGCGACGAGATGCATTTTTGACATACAAACTTATTCTAGAAAACCTCAGAAAGTCTGAAGCTGATTATCAGGATGATGCTGAAATTGTTTACTTAGTTCAGGTACTGTCTGAAAGAGCACTGGTAATAATGGAAACCAATGGCTTTGACTATAATTTTTCCTTTTATTTTGTGTATGCTGTTGACAGGTTGAGAAACAGGCTAAAAGCTACAAAAACTTCTTCCTGTGATATGGGACATTCCATACTGTAAAGAAGCAGCACTTAAACTCTTGAAGTATAGCTGTACTTTCAAAAGTGGTTACAAGCTATGCATTAAAAGAAGGTAGAAGTCTAGCTGACTGGTCAAAGAATCAGATGATCCAAATAATTCTTCTGGTTCTGCTGTGGCCATCCTGTTGCTTAAAGACATTAGCATCATCAGTAAATCAACAATAATGCTTTTGTGACTATAATATTGTTCAATACATAATGCTAGTAAAACATTTTGAACCCCATTATTTGGACTGTTTTAGTAATATAACTAAATTGTTTTGTGTTCTCAGAAGGAAAAAATAAAAGAACTGAGGTTTTGACATTCCTGTTCTATGTCAGTAGAATATCTGTATAGTTGGAATTTTTGCTTTTTTGTGTTTATTAGGAAAGGGATTCACCAAATATTTTAATCTTCTAAATTTTTTACCATCATCTGTAATCATCTGTAATCTTCTGCAATATTACTAAGTAGCTAATGTTTCTTAGTAATCATTACTGGTACAACTCAGTTTAAAGCACTTCTTGCCTCTGTCTTCAGCAAATTCTCATTTAGTTATTATTTTGTCAGCAAAAGAATTTGACATCCAACATCCACTGGGAAAGTTTTAAATCTGAGGTAATAAAATGTTATTTATTGAAAATACTGAACAGCATAGATTTATTTGAACTTTCTGACATTCGGTAATAAAAATCTCTACAGCATCAACATTCATAGAATAGATTTTGAACTATATTTTTGGTATGTCTGAAACAACAACCAACCAACCAAAAGCCAGTCATGAATAACCCACTGCTATCAAAACAAGCCATGCTGTGGTTCAGCACCTTGCCCATGGCAGCTGTCAAAAGTAAGATTTGGATTCTTTAGTTATCATGCCTGTATTAAGAAACATTCTCAAAGAACCTGGATTTTGTGATGTTGTTCATCTATATTGGTTTTCACTTAAGCTGAAAAGTTTCTTGTCTCTGTCTAACTTAGTTTATCTTAATATGTAAACATCCTCCAAAATCTTCTGGACCTCTCTCACTTCACATCACATCACTTGTGAATGGCTGGTGGCCATTGATGCACTGAAACATGACTGCTGCTTAACTGCTTACACCGAAAGCCCTCACTTGCAGTTCCATTTGTGGTTGTACCACTACAACAGCTCTAGATACCGTGTAATTTTCATCCAAATTAACTTATTTTCTTTAGAGCTGTAAATATCTAAACAACAGAGGTTTGTATCTTACTAATTTCTTTGGGTTTTCCCCTAACATTTCCTTAAATTATTAAATTTTTTCTGAGCTACTTGTTTGTTGGTTTTTTTTTTCCTTCCCCTCACAACAACTGTCTGTCCCCTTGTGTACTTATATCCAGAAAACAGCTCTGGGCATCTAGAAATTACTTGGGCCCAATTAAAAGTCTTTTGGAGCAGCTGTGACAGCTTTATTCATTGTCCAGTGCAGTACCATTACTGACTCTGATTATATTGTCTGTGGATAGATGCAAGACTTTTGTGATAAGATAAAAGATTTTTCTTCAGATCTCTTGCATACTGATTCTGTGTTTGGGTTGACTACTTACATGAGTGCTGATAAGTTTTAAAAGGCAAAAACCCATTGGTGAGAGTTAAGGTAGTTCCAGTAAATTCCACTTACTGCAGCTAAAGACCTTTTTTGTATCAAAATGAACTAGTTCAGCAAATATGTCAAGGCCTGAGGCTACCTTTTATTCTTTCAGAAAGTTTAACTATGCCATACTCTTTACAATCGATAGTACATATATGGCTTTGATTTTTCTTGATGAGCAACTTCCCAATGGCAATGTCGTATTCATTTGAAGTTACAAATACACTTAACTCCTTTATCAGTTTGCTGCCTACCCTTGTTTCCCTGTCTCACCTGCTGAGCATTCAATGCTTGCTCCCAATAATACTTGCTCCCAACCTGTCAGATGACATTACTTGAAGGCCACTTCTGTTTCTTGTGAGCACAGAACAAATGTGGGGAAACATAATTTGAAATGAATTAACTCTAAAATTTCACAGCAAAATGCATGCCTACCTTTAGAAAGTGCAGTAGTATCTTAAATGAAACTCTTTCCCATAACCTGAGAAATTTTAACATAGAACAAGCTTTTGCCTAGTAATTTAGGAAAAAGGAAGGGTAAAATTGTGGATCTGTTCTACATGGACCCTTATATGCCTCAGTATAGATAACTTCTGAGATGTGTAGCTTAGCACAAAAATAGTAATACTTGCTACTATGTCTGCTTGCAAATTTCTATCTTCTAAGAAGATACAGAAGTTATTTGAAATTTTGTGAAAAAGAGGAAATACTGAAAATAGATGCCAGTTAGTGAAACCTAATAAAGGAAGCCCTGTAGTACCAGATTTAAGACCAGATGTAGGATAAGTCCTATGTTCTTGGAATCAGTAGTATATTACCAGTGGAGGGTCTAAGCCCAGCTTTTATCTTACATTTTCCCTGGCAAGAATTTACATGGGCTTCTGGATTTTGGAAGCAAGATGAGTGAGAATACATGAGGCTGTATTTCACTAAAACGCTGGATTGGTATAGTTTTGTTCATCCTTTGTCAAAAATTTCATAAACAACATGTAAACACCATTATTTAATTAATTAAGTCAAGATTTCTTTTTAGAGGAATAAGTTGTCTTCAAATGGCTAGCTTGGAGGAAAATCTATTTAAAAGTCTGTTGTTTACACATTCCTGTAGATAAAAATCTTCTAATAATTTTCCATGACATACAGAGAAGAACTAATACAGAGAAGAGGGAGAGTGACAGGAAAACTTGCCAAAATTCAGTGGTAACTGCCATCCCAATTTTTTTTTTTTTCATTCAAAAGGCTATGTTTATCAAGATTTAGCAGTGATTTCAGATGGCTAGTAGTAAAAGAAACAAATTAAGATTTAAATAAATTAACCTTAGACACAGGTTAAAAGTAAAAAAGTAAACTATAGGTAAAACTAAAAAAGGCCTTTCTGTACTGGAGAACCTTTCAAACAGACCTTCTATTATTTTTTGTTAATATTGTATTCTGTTAATACTATAGCATAGCTACCTGGTCTTATAATCTTATTTGGCAACAGTATCATGAGCACAATGAACTCTCCATATGTCAACAGCAGAGTGAGGGGAAGAAGGCAAAGCAGGCGGTGTTTTGAGGTCTGTCACAGGTGGAAGTTTTTCTTGTCCTAATTTCTCACATTTTCTAGGTTATTCTGATTATATGTAAACTTTAAGTAAGTTAGTAGTGTAATAACTCATTTGTTGAATAACATTAATTCTGAATCCCAGAATGAAATGGGGAAGTCATCTGAACTATGACAGAAATGGATTACGGTTATTAACCAGAAAGGTCTGAACAGGCTTAAGCATGCTGTATGAGGAAAACCATGAGATTTAAGAAGCTTTATAAGAGCAGTTAAGCAATGAGAATGTCAGTGGAAGATTTGAATTGCCATTGGCAGAGACAATCGAAGTAAGAATGTAATGTTTTAGACATGATACAAGAAAAATATAGTTAACAATTGCCACACCATACTAAGGGAAGATGTATATGTATAGACATTCTTTAACCAAGTGATTATATGACATATGCATAGAAAAGTTTTTTTCTCAGAGCTTTATTTGCATTCTTTTATGCTTACAATGCTTTTGTTGTAGAATGAAACATGCTTCTTCCTTTTTAACCTTATTTTCCATTTAAGCTTCAAGATCTGCAGTACCTGATTGAGAACATATGGGGCTGTCGGTCAGCTCTCAGTGCTTGCAGTGACCTCTATGATTTGGTCATGGTCAGATGGGATAAGCACCATGAATGGTCTCCCTGGAACACTATTCTTCTCAGTAGAGACGAGGCAGATGCACATCTTAAACTGTGTAACATTCAAAAGGTAAAATTTGATGGGATTAATCTTTTACAATATTTATGTTATGTTTTAGTAGAATCTTGTGACTAAAGATGTTTGGCCAAATTTAGTCCTTACACTCATCCATGCTTAAATTGGTGCATTGTGACTATTTAAATGATTACACCTGTACTATTAAATAAACCAGGCACTACTCCAGAGAGCAGCTGGCATGTACAACTTGCATCCATGTACCTGAACTCTGCCTTGCCATGATTCTCCCTCCCGAAATGTAAGAAGCTAAGTGGCCTTATCCATGCTGCTTACTGAGAGCAGTGCCATGCCTATGCTACTCCCTCAGCTGAGATCAGACAAGAGCTGACCTGGATGAAAAACACATTAAAGACTAACCATATGACAGTTGTGTGCCTGTGCTCTTGCACATGCTCTGGCCTCATTACTTTCTGGCCTTATAAATTTCTCATCAAATAAAAGAATGGCTCTTTGTCTAGAATTTAAACAGTTGTCATAATAAAATTTGTCTAATTAATTTTCTTACATAGATGTCATTTAAATACCCTTGACAATGTAATCTTATAGTTTGCAATTAAGCAATAAAACCATAATTGCTGTTCTGAATTAAAAAGCTTAATATTTTGTTAAAGAAGTCATTAAAACACCACTCTCCCCAAATTCCATACCTAAACATGGTAGTCTGATAAATATTTCACTCCACTGGACAACATATGGTAGAGTATTTAGTTTTCTGAAGCGTGGGAGAATTCAATGAACTGTGTTTGTCCTGCAATTAGTAATGGATTATTAAGCCTTTCACCTCTCAGTTATTGATTTATGTAAGTAATGACCTGAGGTCATTGTTATATGGTGTCCTTTTGTTCAGGGTGTTCTTAATTCAATTTCTAACACAAAATGTGTGCTTTACAAATGCAACTTCAGCTGTTATGCATTGTTCTTCTTTTTGGAATTCTTAAGAGTATGTGATCACTAAACTGACAGAGCAAATGAATTGCTCTCATAATGAAAGGTTTGCTTTGGGGATTAAATATATCAGTCAGGGAATTTTAAAAGTAAAGGGAATTCTGCTATCCATGATACTTTTTGTGTGTGTGCCCAACCTGTGTCTTCAAGCAGACACAGGTTTATGTGAGCATTACCTTTAAAAGCTAAAATCAGTTTCAAGCTGGAAATTCCTGTATTGACTCCCCTGTCTCTTTCAGTCAGCAAGGCTGTTCAGGCAGTCTGAATCTAGTGATGCTTCTCTGCATCCCTAAATGTATGTTAATAGAATTATGGCAGGCAGAGACTTTGATTATGCAGTTTAACTTCTTAAGTCTGGATGTTATAGTCAAAGAGCTGCCATTAACTTGATTAGGTCCAGAGCTTCAGTGGACTTGAGAATTAGGCCAGAAGAGCAACAGGTAAGGTATGCAAGCCTACCTAAAAATCATAAGGTGTTTTCACTTAGCTCTACAAAAATAGAAGTGGAGCAGGTATAATGAGGAGTCACCTTTCTTCACTGGTAATGGCCAAACCTTTTTTTTTTTTTTTAAAAAAAAAGAGTGTGAAGTAAGGAAAATGAAGCAAAGTTAGAATGTCATACATTGAGTGATTGTTTCTCATTCACTGAAACAAAAAAAGGCCTCTCAAGCACTTTCTTTAATTGCATCTATTCATAACGATGACTATAGTGATAGCAAAGGGCTTTTTCAACTAAATATTCTGGTTATTTATTGCATCATCTGAGCTACTACTGATCACTAGAAATTTAGCAAAACACCACCACTGAACACAAAGGCTGACTGAAATGTGGCAAAATACTTGCTGCCATGATTATTTGTAAATAATCATTCTGATTCTTATCGAGGAAATTTCTTATAGTCATCACCTTGTAAATGTTGATATCTAAGCATTGCCTTTTTTAATTTTCAAAAGTAAGCACAAATGTTCTTACCTGAAAATAAATAAGTTTTATCTTGAACAGATAAAAAATGCTGGAAGTTCTTCTGTTTTCAAAAGGTGACTAATAGTTCACAAGGTATGGTCAGTCATTTTCATTATTGGGCCGTAAGTTAGCAGTATAGAACTACAAAATATTCATTAGGTATCATATATGAATAAATTATCTGGCTTAGTTTATTACAGGGTCACTATTTATGCTGTCTAAAATATGAAGCAACGTGTAGATTGCTAGATATTTTAATTGTATTTAATGGGATTTGGATTTTTTTTCCTTTCAGGCTTATGAAGCAGCATTTATTCAAAGAATAAAACATAAGCATATCCAGGCAAAAACCTATTTTGCTCAGATTCCAGTGATGACATCAGTTTTGCATAGGAGTGACAATCAGGCTACTGCAAATTAATTTTTAATAGCTACACCTATTCCTACTGGTACAAAAACATAACTCCTAAGTGAAGTTTACTGAAGTTAAAGAAGCTAGCTGTATTATTGATTTCCTTGGTTTTAAGGAGACGTACTTTTTCATCAATACCTTAATTGTTTTACACAGATCAAAATAAACTTCTGAGGATAAAATAATTTGATCTTGACTAGTCAATATAACTGCATTTCATGTTTTGTAACCTTATTATTTAAAAAGTAAAATGCTGTTGATGGTCTTTGTAAATTCTAAATTTTCATAGCAATGACTTTCTTTCTGTTTATGCCTGTGTTGTTTGGAACATTCCATCTGTAGTGTAATACGCCTGTTGGAGCAATGTAGATAATTCTTTGTCACCTTTTAATTAGAAAAATTATACTATAACCATTGTATTAAATTTATTTCTCTCATCTTAAGCATATAAGGCAGAAAACCCCTCAAACCCTAAATTCCTACAGAACAGAATTGATATGCCCTTCCAAAAATAGTTGTTTTGCTTTGAAAATATTTGTGCAAAATAATAACTTCACATTTTATAGCTCATCTTTATGGTGATAGTGGAACTTCCAGGATGTAATTATTGTATCCAAGATCTTAAAATTATTGTAACTCAGACTTATAATTTGAAGTACAGAATGAAGACTGTTTTGAACATGTTTATTTTTTGAGGAGCTTGTGTTATTTAAGGTAGAAGTCAATTATCTCCATAACCTTAGTTATGTTTATGTTCGATTATAGTTACAGAGAAAAATATTATATGGTCTACATTCAATAAAGAATTACAAAAAATTGCAGTGTTCTTCTTGAAACCTCTATTCTACAACATGTTTTTGACCTAGGACCAAACCTTTTTCTCTGACAAATAAAACTGTCTAGGAAAAAGCAGTAGCATTTACAAAATAAGCATATATTTGGCAACAAACAGCTGTAAAGTGGATTGACTCCCTCAACAGAACATGAACTGTAGAACCAGTAACTGACTGACCAGTGCATTCTAACATCACTGGAGTTTTTCCATTGATTTTACCATTGCATTCAGATTCTGGATTTTAGTTCAGTACTGAACCAATCAGTTCAAAGGCTTTACTAAAGTCTAGGTAACGACATCCACAGCCTTTCCCTCATCCACTAAGCGGGTCACCTTGTGGATGATAAGGTGATAAGCAGGAATGATAAGCACAGAATGATTCAGGTTTGAAGGGGCCTCAGAAGTCCACCTCCTACTCAAAGCACAACCAGCTATAAGGTCAGACTGAACTGCCCAAAGCTTTATCCATTCAGGTCTTGAAAACCTTCAAGGATGAAGAACAGGTTCCAATGCTTGACTGTCCTTACCTTAAAAAAATTTCCATTTCAATAGAGTATGTTGTCTCTCATCCTCTAACATGCACACCTGTAAAGAGTCTGGCTTAATCTTCTTAATAATATCTTTTTAAGTTTTAGCTAGCAGTTTTTCCCCAAGCCTTCTGTTCTTCAGGCTACACAAGCCCAGTTCCCTCAGCCTCTCCTCACATGTCAAGTGCTTCTGCTCCCTGATCTTGATGGACCTCTGTTGAACTTGCTCCAGTTTATCAAAGCCTTTCTTGATTTGAGGGACCCAAAACTCATACAGTATTACAGATTTATGCTTGAAGAGTTCTGAATACTGATGCAGTTCAGTATTCTTAAGTAAGCTAGTGTTTTGGCCTGATAGACAATTGCTCATACACACAAATTTTTTGGTTTATGAAGAAGTCCAGAAGGTAGTCCCTGATAATGGCAGTGCCATTTAATCACACTGTGAAGTCTCTTGTATAAGTAGTTAAAAATTTGTGTCACAATTATAGTGAATTGGATACTTAGGACTAATATTTGTGAGATGGCTGTCCACAAAATGACTGACTACCTGTATAAATTGAAAATTCATGTCTTCCTTCAAGTCAGTGTCCAAAACTGGCTTCTGAAAGCATGGAAACAATGTTTTGGAGGACATGGTGTATTGAGAGTTGCTGAAAAATTGAAAAAGTATTTTCAATATTTTGGATATGTAATTGAATCCTTTTGTTAGGGAAAAGCCAAGTAAAGCCAACATAATTCAAAAATAGGATAACAATCTTTTTAAAAAATCTTGTATAATTGAAATTAGTATAAAATTATTCATGTTAGTTTTCTTTAATTGCTAAGTTCATCATCATAAATGTTTTGTTGACATTGGTACTGAATTTGAAAACAATTACTTTTTACATCTTTTTGTTCATAGCTTTCAGAATTCTATTACATTTTGAAAAGGAATTAATTTAAAACTTTTCTGTAGTAGTTACTGTGTTGCTTCACTTGTTTATGTAGCTTACAAATGATACTGAAAAAGGTACTGGACAAGTACGAAGAATGAAAGCATTCTCTGTATCAGCCAGTGATGAATACTGGAAAACCTGACTGAAAACTACACTCAGATTAATGATTATATATATATATATATATATATAGAGATAGATAGATAGATAGATATAGATATATATCTATATATATCCTAGAGTACATATACTTAGGATGCTGCATGTCCCAAGCACAATTCCAAGCTGGGTGGAGAATGGATTGAGAGCAGCCCTGCAGAGAAGGACTTGAGGGTATTGGCAGATGAAAACCTGACTATGAGCCAGCAATGTGCATTCACAACCCAGCAAGCCAACTATATCCTGGGCTGCATCAAGAGAAGTGTGGCCGGAAGGCCAAGGGAGGTGATTCTGCCCCTCTCCTCTGTTCTCATGAGATCCCACCTGGAGTACCATGTCCAGCTCTGGGGGCCCCAGCATAGGAAGGGCATAGATCTCCTTGAGCGGGCCCAGAGGCAGACCATGAAGAAGAACGGGAGTCTGGAGCACCTCCCTTGTGAAGACAGGCTGAGAGAGTTGGGGTTGTTCAGCCTGGAGAGGAGAAGGCTCTGGGAAGACTTTATAGCAGCCTTCCAGTACTTAAAGGGGACCTACAGGAAAGATGGGGAGGGACTTTATCAGGGATTGTAGTGATAGGATGAGGGGTAATGGTTTTAAACGGAAAGAGGGTAGATCTAGATTAGATATAAGGAAAAAATTCTTTACTGTGAGAGTGGTGAGACACTTGAACAGGTTGCCCAGAGAAGCTGTGTCTGCCCCCTCCCTGGCAGTGTTCAAGGCCAGGCTGGATGGGGCTTTGAGCAACCTGGTCTAGTGGAAAGTGTCCCTGCCCATGGCAGGTTGGGAGTGGAACTGGATGACCTTTAAGTTCCCTTCCAACCCAAAACATTCTAAGGTTCTATGATACAATTCTGTGACTCCTGGCTTCTTGCATCCAAAATGTCTGACTTAATGTAGGTTAATGGAAAAATAAAGAGAAGTTAATACTAGGGAGGCAATTATGAAAGAAAGGTATATCCTCCCTGTCTCTACAGCTGGTAATATCTCAAAAACTAGATTATACCTTGTATTAACCTAGATCTTTTGGAGGGTATCTGCACACACTAACCAAATCACACACAAGTGAGATGGAGCACAGTTGGTGGGTATACTGTCAGTATTCTGCCTTATAGAAACAGTCTTAGAACTTTTGAAACAAAACCAGATTGTTTTATCTCAGATTACCATATTACTTATGAACAAACTTTTAACTGAAAACAAACTGAATTTTCCTTTTTAATATTTCTCCACAAACCACAGTTTGGGAACAACTGAAGTGAAGAAAGCTTTGAAAAAAAGGAATGAGAAAAAACTATTGAGTGGGATTTTAATTTCGCTCTCTCAGTAAATTTGGCTCACAAATGCATCTGAATATATTTTCTCCTTTTTCTTTTTTTCTTCACTCCTAAAAATAAAGATTTTTTGCCAAATGATTAAAAAAAAGAAATATCTATTGCAAAGCGAATTTTCAAAATTATTCCTTTCTTTTGTTTAATTAAAATGAGATGAGATCACAGTGGTTCTTTTACCTGTGAGCAGGAACCTAAAACCCCTTTTGACTGATGTCTGTTGGTATACGTAAAAGCACACACAGTTTACTGTTGCATTTTCCATAGGTATTTTTCTTTGAAAATCCATAGGTGATCTTTAGTCCAGGTTTAGAACTGTTTGCACATGAAGATTTTTTTTTAAATCCAGCACAATTTCAAAATACTGAAACTCAGACTGCTGTCAAATCATTAACTACAATGAAGAAAAAAATACTTCCATTACCATGTATCTCAGTTTAACCAAAATAATTTTATTAAGAGAAGCTGTAACATTGACGTACCATGTATTAACATTCTATTCCTACCCATTTCACTGGATTTATACATGCTTTCTTTTACAACTGTGTGCCACTCATATATGCTATGTATTTCTTATCCTGTCCAAGTTGAAATATAGGACTCATAAAAAATAACTGAAAAGACCAATATGATAGAAGCTTAATTACTTATTCTTATGAGTCCTTTTATTTAAAAGAAAAAAGAAAAAAAATCATCTCAACCTCAGAATTCTACATTCCTGATGTAAAAAATTTTTAATAAGTGTGAATTCCAGATTTCCGTGGGATGAAGGTAAATTTAGGACTGTAAATCAGGCTAAAAGGTATGACTGCTTTAACAAGGACAATTTACAGTGCAGGATAAGCCAGAGGAACTATCTATAGGTAGGTGACAAAAATAAGTGTCATCCATTTTGCATGCAAATTTGATCCTTGAGTAATAGGTTTGAGAGATAACATGATATTATGGCAGCATATTAAAGAACCTCTTCCCCCAGTTCAAATAACAGACATATTCAAATTTAGGCTCTTTAAAAAAATCAATAATATTAAAAGAATCCAAGATTTTGATTTTTTTTTTTTTTTTTTTTTTTAACTAGTTACTATTAGTATTATTTCCTATTGAAAAAGTATTTTCCATATGGCAAATACTGGTCAGCAACTACTTTGCTACCCTCACACATTAAATTATAATCCTGCTTTATCAGTTTTTACAATAATTTTATTATCTAAGAGGAGACTGAATGCTTTGTTCATGAGAACATCTTCTGGGGTGAGGAGGTGAAGAGAGAAATTTCTCTGAGTTCTTCTTCCTTTGAGACATAAATAGAGAAAATTACATCCTGGAAATAGCATGAACTTTCATCTTGGGACTGGGGAAACAGAGTGCATTACCAAATTAACATACTACCTATTTGTGCATGTGGGAAGAAAGCCAGTACTTTTCCCTCTGGAAACAGATTACCAGTGGCATTGGAGGTGGGTAGAAGGCAAATTTTGTTTCATGCTCAAAGAGTCCTGCTCACAAAAGAGTCCTGTGAGGTACGCTGCAGGTGTTAATTGGCCACATGTCTCTGCTACTGCAGAAGGAGAAATACAAGCTATATGGACCGATCCCCTTTTCCTGGTAGTGAGTATCTACATCTGAGAAAGACCTGAGATGAACCCAGCATTTCTCATCCGTATTTCAGGAGTGGACTCCTCATGGTCTCAACCTCTAAGCTACAATTTAAGAGACTCTATAAGCTATCACTTTAGCCACTTCTCAGAAGTGAAGAGAGAGGGTTAGAATTTCACCTTAGAGTCTATTCTTTGAAGAGGCATTGATACTTTGCAATCATTTGTTCTCATTACTGGAAATATCTAGGCTCCAAAGCCAAGGCCTTTTTACCAACAGATTCCAAAACAATCTTGTGAGTACTTCTCTGAAATTCAAGCAAATATGATCAACTGTGCTTTTAAAGAATTTACTCAGCTCTAATGGAAATTGTCAGATTTGACCATTTATCAGAACAGTTTTATTTTCCTGATAA